GTCTGGCACAGTGAGGTGGAGAAAGTAGACATCCTCCTTCTAAGCATCATGGTCTCTTCTCATCCTTTTGAGGATGTGTTTTTAAACAGGCTTCCTGGCCTTGGGACTCCTCTGAGGGTTGATGATGAGATTAGCTCTATTCCAGGCACTGAGTCCTTTTTCCCCGTGTCCTGGCTATAGGCTGGCAACTGACCCGTCTTTCCTGACCTCTGCCAAATCCTGTGGAGCTGTACACAATTTCACTTCGAAACAACGTTAATCTGGCTGTTTAATGTCCTCTTCTCTCCGGCCTGTCTCCTCAAGCAGTCCAGTGTGCGCTATGGCTTCCCTTCCTAAAAGCGTTTGGCACAGATCTCTGCGAAGCAGGGCACCTCATCTCATTCCAGGCCTTAGAATCGTTTGTATTGATCCATGGATATCCATCTTGGTTTGCTAATGGGCGTCAAGTGGAAAAGGTAATACATTTCTACTGTATTTGAATTAATCTCCCACTTGGGTCGTTTGGATCAGCTCCAGCATCTTGTTAAGAACAGAAGACACTGATCATCTTAAAGGATGGGAGAGGAATCCGACTGTTCAGGCACAACAACTTGTATGTCTTCCGCATGAGCTGAGTAGTGAAGCCCACAGAGGAAGGTGGGGGGTTGAAAGGGTCACTCATGAATTTAATTGTTTACAGTACCTTGAGCAGTGGAAAATAACTGCAGAAAGTGGAGTGTGACATCCAGAAGTATTCCTTCTGCTCCATTAGCAAATGTTGAGGAGCACCTAATGATGTTTTTCATGCTTTTCAGCAACCGAGCCCCAAATGCACCTTAACACAGGCCTTTCCTCGGTGCTTAAGACAAATCTAAGTTTCAGACCCAGCTGCTTCGGAGCTCAGCGATCTTGTGTCAGTTCTTGCCATGGTTTGAGGTGCTGTTTCATCAATTGGTTCTGGTGCGTTCTCATTTGCAGAAGACACCTGTTCCTTAATTACCTCCATCCTTCGTCCGTCTCATTTTGTTTGGGCTCTTTCTGATGTATGAGCTATTAGCGTGGTTTGAAGGGAGGCTGTGTTGAGCGGTGCGTGTGCTGGGAGGGGAGGATGGAAGATTTTAGTCAAAACCTGAGAATAATTACCAGTAAGAAGAGTTGGTGTTTACTTGGTTCATGCTGCGTCCTTGATCTACATCTCTCTTTAGCCTAAACTTTATTTCTTCTTTGGGGTTCCTGCTCTCTCCTAGGATGGAGTGGCAGTCTGTAGAGGGCAGGAGAGTGGAGTTAAGCTCCTGGTTAGAAGAAAGGAACAAGAGGGAGAAGAGTGAAAAAAGGCTTGTAACCCAGAAGCAAACCAGCTGGTTAAAACTAAAAATGCCTTAACTATTAAGGTTGTTTTAGCTCTTAGCCTTGCCAGTTATGCCTGTGTTGTTGTATTCTGTGTGATTTCAGCGTTTCCTCCAAGGATCCTCAATTCAATCTGAATTCTGTACATGCTTTCTGTCCTTTTTTTTTTTTTTTTTGGCAAGCAGAGAAACGAAGACTTTGTCTAAATGATGGCCTCGGGTCAGAATACGTCTTGACCGAGTGACATGTGAAACCAAGGGTTCTCTCTTCTGCTCCCCTTCTGGGTTTACTTTAGTCGTCTGAGAATATTTGTGATGCAAGGCGTTTCCAATTTGCCTTGCAGATATTCTGAAACTGTCTCAGGGAAGGTTTCTTGGGGTTGTACTAGGCTTAAAATAGCTTGGATTCTGTTCTGTCACCGACTCTGGGGTCGACAGAGACCTCGAGGCTCTGCAGCTTGCCCTTTTGAGTCCCGGTTCTTCCCTTCTGATGACACCTTTTTTTCGGAACTGCTTTAAGAAGTCATGGAAAAAGAGCAATGTGTAAATATTAATGTTGAGTATTTGTCTTTAAAAATACCTTTGGGATGCTCAACAAATCTGTACTGCGTGTGCTGTGGCTTTCTAGGTACTGCTTGCTTACAGTTTTTGGACCTGTTAGGATATCGCTAGCCTGTACCCATCCCATGGATCGTGAGCAGGGCTGTCTTCTGTAACACCCATTTTGTCTCCCTGTCACAAGTACTTTCTCTCAGTTGACGTTCAGACCTCAGTTTACCCTGCAGTAAAGCCTTTTCTCTTCTGTCTAGAGCAGGTAGGGCTCAAGTGCCACTCAGTGCCAGGGCAGAGGTGATGGTGCTGCACAGGACACCAGTCCTCTGGTTGTGGGCTGAGAGCGCGGTTGCCTCGTGTGCCCTAGGAGGGTGCCAGAGGAAACTCGGGTGGCAAACTGCACAGTCCTGATTTCCAGCTTTGTTGGATATATGTTGCAACCCAGCTGAAAGAGGTGCGACAGACTGGTACTGCGCCATGCCCCAGTTTAGTTTGCTGAAAACCACTGGTCTCAGTAAGAGGGCAGTGAAGAACGATCTCTCCTCGTTGGCAGTGGCTTTAATTTCCACGCTGAATGAAGCTCATTCTTACAAGTATCTCTTTGATTTGTATTTTCCCTTTCCCCTCGCTTTGCACAGGTTTTCAGCTTCCAAGTCAACAGCTGAACTGTTACGCTATAAACTTCCCCCTGTAAAACAAGCAACTTAAAGTACGTGGGGAAAAAAATGTTCCGGGCAGATCCGACTGCATTGCTGTTCAGCCTGGGACACCCCGAAGCTACCCCATCAACATTAATGCGAGCAGACTGGTCACAGCTATTGCTAGCCAGACCTAAACTGAACATGTACCTGGACAAAGAGGCCACAGTTTAATATTTAATGTTCCATAAGGCTGCACTGAGAGCTTTTACTGAAATGTGTCAGTAAAGGCGTGCTGTAGCAGTGATAGCGAGCGGCTGAGAGCCAAGAGGATCCTGTGCTCTACTTCTGCCCGAGGCGTGTTCTCTGATACCAAGCAGCTTGCTTGACCCCCTGTGTCTCAGCCAACCTAGCTGTAAAATTAAGCAACAAAGAAAGCTCCGTGACAGACAGACGTGTCTGGAGGTGAACTTTCAAGGCGAGCTTTGCTTTACTGATAAATTTGACTTACTAGCAGAATTTCTGGCTTTTAACCTAATGCGTGGGTTTTGTTGTTGTCCTTCCAGGCAGCATTCACTCTCCTCCTGGGTCCTTTCACCTTCTTCAATGTGCAGAAGACCAAGTATCTTCAAATCATGACATCCCTCATGAGATGGATAGGTGAGTCTTGGCCACTTCTTTACCACAGGTGGAACCTGAGTCACGCTACCAATGCGTCTTTTTGGCAAGATGTTCCTGTTCAGGATCAAGTGCTTGTCGAAAAAAACTCTTTGAGGAGAACTGTCCAGGCCTGATAAACCTTTAAGGGAAGGGATTTTTGTTCTTGGATGAAATTTCTGATAAAAATTAACAGTAGGGCATGAGCTGGTAGATGAAGTTTTAATCTGGTTTGTGTGAGAGGCAGAAGGGATTTGCAAGAGTCTCCTGTGTGTGGGCTGTGATACCCACCAGTTGCTGTTCAGCAGTAAGTTTCTCATTCTCTCAGCATGTGTACAACAGACTTTGAACAGTCTTTGTTTTGATCTGAGAACAAAAGGTGCTTCTGTCAGACTTTCCACCCTTGGTTTTATCATCTGTTTGCATTTTTTTTTTAACTGGGTCTTGCTTTAGCGTAGGATGTGTTGTGTTGGAAATCCCCAAACCGATGTGTGTTGTCCTGCTCTCAAGAGTTCTCCCCAAAATTTTACTGCCAAGAATGTCTGGGAAGACAGATAATTCCCTTAAGGGAAATAAGACATCGCTCCTTTTATTATTATTATTGCAGTGCCTTTGTCATCCAAAGGTGCAACTGCCTCACATCTGGCTTGTATGTGTACATGCCCTTAAAGGCTGAGAGGGGGGCATGTGTTATGGAGGCTTATGGTGAGGTTTGTCTTGTTTTCTGTAACTTAGAATAACTGATATTCAGGGCTAACAGAGGATGTTAACAGCACCAGCAGCATTTCTGCAGGTTATCGGTCTCCTGATTCATGGGTCCAGGCCATTCAAGCACAGAATTAGCTTTGTTTATAGCTATCACTGACTTGGGATAGGAAGAAAAGCTGATTCTCAGACTGTTTCCACTGCTCATACACACTTGACCTGACTTCAGTTGGGTATCATCCCTTTTCTCTGAGTTCAAAGGCGTGCAATCCTGTGTGGAAGTGGCTGGCAGTCTCTGCAGAGGAATGGAGATCCTCTGTGCTAGAGAACATCTGAGACGGGGTTAAGCAGCCATCACCCAGGAAAATGAGGTTGGATTTTAAGCCCTCAAATCTCAGATGCTGAATATCTTCAGTTAACGAATCCTGACCTCGGTTGGTGTGAAAATCCTGAATGTCTGTTTTTCCCCTATCCTTGTCTGAGCACATGACAGGTTCGAAAGCCCCCATCTTCTTCAGAGAACGAGGTTATCTCTTTCAGGGGTATTAAAGGAAGTTGATGGGTTTTTTTGGTCCTGTTTCTGTGTTTTTTGTTTGTTTTTTTTTTTTTTAAGAGAGTAATCTCTGTTCAGCTCGCTGGCCTATTTCCGATCTCCCTGCCTCCTCTTTCCTGGTAAAGACATCAGTCAGACCTCATCCTGTCTCTGTGACAACCTGACACCTGCCTGATCTGCCATTGTTTTCCCTTTAGCCAGCTCCTTCCAGCATGGGGATTGCTAAACCTTGGCGTAAAGGCAGAACTGCTTCTCTTTTTTCATCGCTTGATGGAGAGGGACAAAGGCAGTGTTTTGGAGAAGTGTAGGGGAAATTCATGCTTTAGCCTGATTGATTCCTGCGTCAGCACGCTGGGGAACAGCTGCCCCAGATAATGATATTTAATGACCCAGACAGCACCTCAGTGGCTACTTAGAGGAACGGATTCCGTATGTGTACAATGAGGGATAGATTTATTAGGAAAGACGATTTATCAAATGGCCATGTGATGCAGGGACCAGAGAAAAGCTCTTGCTGCAGATTCCGGGATAAGGATGGATCCTGTACTGTTTAGATTTATCAAGCTGGCTACTCCCATGTCCTCGCATCACCGCTGTCCCCTCCTCCAGAAGCAGGACTGCGAGTTAAACATGAGTTGGTCTTTTCTTGGTGCTTAGATCTTAAAGAATAGTCTTGGCTGGTGGTTTGTTGGTCTCCTGAACTTGTCCTGCCTGAATGCCAACGGCTGGATGTGGACTTTTTCTCAGATACCTTTGTCTGGTTGTAGGCACATGTCTGCAACGCACTGAGCGGCAGAGCTGAATGCCGGAGCTGCCAGCCTACCTGCTTGTTTGGCTGGGTGAAAACTTCCCACACAGACAGTGGCTTATTCAGCTTACCTGTGTCCCCTGGCCTGGTGCGGGTGGGAAGCTGACCCATGCTTTACATTGTGATTTGAAAAATCAAACCTCCTGAGCTGGGGAGTCGGTACGGGCTCTGTAACGTGCCTGCAGCAGGACCCACCGTGCAGCTTCTTCCCCAGCCTGGTGAAAAGCCCCTGGATTTCGGAGCAGCGGTGGCTGATGTAAAGCTGCACTGCCCCAGGTGTACTGGCAATTGGGATGACAGTGGCTGAGAGGATGGTTCTTGGCAGCAGGGAGAGCTAGCTGTGTGTGAAGGTCATTTCTGCTGGTGTTTGTAACAGTGTCAGCTTTGCCTTTGAAAGTTGCTTTCCCTCTTTCTCCTGATCTAAGTGATAATCAAATGTCACTAGCCTCTTTCCAGCGCCTCGTGCTCACCGCGAGCAGCACATCAGCTAACAAAGACTACAGCAGTCTCTTTCCACACCTCTTGGACGAGAAAAAAATTCATTCTGTCCCTGAAAAATGAAGTTTTAAACACTGGGATCTGAACTGGAAATTAAAAATGGGCCAGTTCAGAGAACATGGAGATGCGACGGAGATCAGCCCTTCATCTGGCTGTGTTTTTCCTTCCAAAGTAAGGGACTAGCCAGGACAGGCACCTTGGAAGTCTCTAAAAGGAGAAGGTTGAAGGAGGAGCTGGCAAGCCCCATTATCATAGTGCTGGAGAGCCCAGACAGATGGGCTCTCCTTGCCTGGGCCTGCTGAACACGAGGAGCTCATCTGGAAACAAGGCTGGCATGGCGAGGCGTTTCCCTGTCAGGACTGATAGGAGCACAGAGGGTGGATCTGTGTCTCCAAGGGAAGTGGGGCTGATGGCAGAGAGGGCTTCCAGAGCCATGGAGCTGCTGGCAGTCTCCTGAAGAGTAACAGCTTACACACTAGGCAGCAAAACTGATTGTCCCCTTGCGTGGGTGCGTGCCAATGGTTAAATTTGGTGCAGCAGAGCGTGATTGGACTGCTGGCCTTATCTGTGCTTAGAGATCTAGGTTCTTGAAGTGTGTGTAAAGGTATGCCTACACAAGCTCTCATCCCTTTCCCAACTGTAAAAGCTCCTCTGGCTGCTTTGTCAGCCCCTTCCTGCCTAAACTGCCTTGGGAGACTGAGCACAGGCACCCTATGGGGTGTCACAGAGCCTGCCATCTGTGGTTTCCTGGAGAAAAGGCTAGTTGGGAAAACCTACGTGTTCTAAATCCTGCTTAATGGTGCTTAAGGTGAAGCCCTGGTGTGGGTTAGGGATATAACCTCGCCCAGCTCTTGAGCAAGGATTCCAAGAGCAGAGACAGGGCTAAAACTGGGTGACCAGATAAAGTATGTCATCAAAGTGAACTGTCCCCTTGGGGCAGGGAGGGTTCCTTTCCCAAACTGTAACTCCTTCCTTCCTTTCAGCTGCCTTCCACCTCAGCCTTGCAAGTGTGGAGCTGTTATTAATTAGCCCAAGTTTTGGTCTCTTCTACCAGTTTTGGAGCCTGCTTCCAGGTCTCTTACAAGGTTTTTGGAACAGTGTGTCTCCTGCAGAAGGCTAAACCAACCACGCCATCAGTAAATTAGAGCTGTTGGTATTTTCCATTTTGCTGTTTGGACTTCAGGCTTTGTTTTTTTTCCTGGAGGGTTTAAATCTGTGGTGGTGATGGATTACTCCCTAAAGAGACTTGAATATCCAGCTGGTTTTTTTTCTCCCCTCTTTTCTTCAATCCTGATTGAGTGGATGGTGTTAGGGGTGAGCTGCTGGAGGGCACGGCACAGCAAAAGGGACTGAGCCAGGCAAGTCTGATGCTCTTCTCAAAGCAGAGGGGACACGGCTCGCTGGGGCAGAGCCCTACCTCTTTGGTAATATTGGATAATAACCGTCTAGCAGCGTCATGGGAAAGGATATGGATTAGGAAAGATAACAGAAGTACAGGGCTTGGTGGAGCTCAGCAGCAAACATTGTGCTATTGTGTATTAAGCAGCTAACCCGATTAATTGCAGCCTGTTACAGCCTGAGATGCCCAGCTCTATAGGTGAGGACCGCTGGCTTTAGAGACATTGGTAGCATGATTATCGCTGCTGTTATTGAATAGTCTCTGGCAAATGTTCCCAGACAGCTCCCACGTGGGACGTTTGCTCTATGTGCTGCTCTTGATGCTGTATTGTAGTTATTAGAAAGTATTGTATTTTAATAAAGAGACACTTTATAGAGGAATAAACTTCTGGGTTTGGTTGCTGCAGGCTCCGTTCTCTCTCCCTGTAGCACAGTCAGATCGTACCACATCTATTCAAATAACTGCAGCCCTTGGGACCGAGCATTCCCAACCCTGCCCAAACTATGATCTCAGAATTACGTGCTCAGAAAAAAAAAATATCTCTCCCCTAGCTCTTTCCCCTGGCCACTAAGATGGGGAAAAAGAATAGCCAAAAAGTCTCCTTAAGCTCTTTGTCCCATCCCCTTCCTGGATACGTGGTAGAAGGCTTCTAGGGAAGAAGTTTGGAAAGGGCTCTCCAAAGCATGCTGGTGAGGCTGACTTGCCGTATCTACTGATTTCTCTGATAGTTTTTTCTCTGCCAGGATCTTGCTCTTTACAGGGCTCCCCAGCACTTCTCTGCAGGGAGCTGGTCTCAGACCACCTCGCTGTGAGCAGTTTCAGCTGCTGTAGTAGCTCTCACTGCCATCCTTAGCAGGCTTCACCGGCCGGGCTAGACTCAACTCCGTGCAGACACCCGGAGTCACTGGATGTCCGTGCAGCTGCAGAGGCTGAGAATTACAGCGGAGGCCGGTACAGGAGAGTGTGACAATTATCTGAAGTCCCTTGTTGCCACTCTGCTGCAGGGAGATTAGTCCACCAGTGGCCACTGTCCTCAAGGT